TTTTTTCCTCCACTATAATCCGCGTTTTCCCTTCGCCTATAAAAGGGGAAGAAGGGCGCCCCATGAAATGGGGGCCAGACCACGAGATAAAAACACAAGAGCACGACACGAGCACACGGTTGAGCGGCAATCGAGCTCTCAGCACCCGTTCACTCCTTCCACCAGAGACTTGAGATCGTTTCCCTCTCTCGTCTGTTTGTAACCCCTACTACAAACCAAGTGCCGGTAACACGAGCAGCAGTGAACTGGACGTAGGATATTCCGCCCGAACCAGTATAAACCCTTGTGTTCTCTAAGCACACCATCCGAGCCAGACGCGCAAATACAAATTTACTCGTCGATGGTCCGAAAACATCGACACCTTGATATACTCTAGTGGTAATTTCGGTGTCGCACACACTGTATACTCTCTTATGCTATTTATTTTGTTGAGCAGTGCTTGGAAAACGTTCGCCGAGAAACACCATTATGGTAATTGGGAAGTGCCTCTGCAAATAGTCCAATACCCGGTAAATACTATATAGGTCACCGCATCTTTATTTAGTTCAATTCATTATTATGATGCTTCATTGGTTGATGATAAATCTTTTTCTCGTAAAGTGGTGTCTGCAGCAGGGATCGGGGAACAACTTATGTGCATACTACGTCTGCGAGTTTCTCATGGAGTACTCAAGGAGAACAAGTGAAGAGATCCTCAAAGTACGTAAAAAATATACATGATTTATTTATTACTATTGTGTTGATATATATAATCATATATATATTCATACTTTTGCTTTCATTCGAATTGAAGATTGAATAGAGGAAGTCAAAGGTCCTACGATGTGACCAGATCAAAGCAATTTAAGAGGCATTATCAGGATTTCTTTTGGAGCAGGTCATAGATCCCAAGGGCGCGTACTACTATGACCCTAAAGAATTCATACCTAGTAGCCAAATGACGGAAGATTAGGGTTGCAAGAAATCCCAAGGACATGAGTACATTTGTGACTTTATTATATATGTACATATTTCATGCATGCACAATCTTTTGAAACATTTGTATATATATAGTTTCATACATTTTAGTGTGTTATTTATGTATAATGCTCGAACGGAACCTTATACGTACATATATATGGACATATATTAGCAGCGTAGAATTCGTATACGAAAAGCTAATCGAGACTAAAAAAATTTAATTGAAAAAACCATAAAATGAAAAGGAATGAAATGGAAAAAATAAAGGAACCTTTAGTATCGGCCCGGTGCAATGTCTGGGGGGGTCATTTAGTCCTGGTGGTCCACTTTCAATCCCGGTTTCTAGAACCGAGACTAGGGGGTTAGTCCCGGATTCGCAATCCCGGTTGGGCAATCGGGACTAAAGAGGGTTTCCCAACTGGGATTATAACCCGGTCCTGCTCTAGTGCATTCACATAGCAACAATCTAGCCCTATAGACTGACAGCACAATTGAAGATTCAAAACGAGTTGTTGTGTTACAGGCACCAGGAAATACATACTATATTTATACCACAGCTAACAGTTCTAGTGCATATATAGTGGGTAGGTGAAATTGTTTGTAGCTGCCCGTTTTGCTAAAAAACACTTGTTCACAGCTGGATTACCAGATCTCAAACTCAGTTTCCACCTTGGAAAACATGTAATTTATATACTTTTCACTATTAATTAGTGCATTGTCCACCCATAAGCGTAGTGGAGCACACTGCATCCATAGCCCTGCCACAAGCATAGCCATAGTCGAGCAGACTGCTGTTTCGGACAAGGAGTGACTAATACCCGTGATTGAGTTATAAATGGATTAGCGTCCACTGAACTTTTATGTGTATGCCACTTAACTAGATCCATAAACTTTCAAATTGTATTTCTAAACCAGTTATGTTGTTAACTAGTGTACCTAGGTCCACCCCCACGGGGGAGGGGCTAGAAATATGCACTTAGCCCCATGAGCTTTGCCCTTTTCATTTCCATGGTCGACGATCTTCACCCGTCGTTCTTCTTCATACCAAGCTTAGCTGAGTGCACCACCAATACCCCTTACATGGCACTTGTGGCTTCTGTCACACATGTCTGGGTTCTGCCACACACGCGAACCTCACCATGACTATGTTAGAGTCCACGCCATTTAGCGTGAAGGGATGCGAAACCGCTGGTAGTGTGTGCCGAGGTCGCACAACCGCTTAGTGCTCTCTACAAGGCGGGTCCATGTGGCGCTGGTGTTATGACAGGCGTCGTGGCAGCTGCCTTCGTGCTCCTCTCCTTAGCCTCGATATGTCCTCGCACCGCCGCCCATGCCTAACATTGTCTCCCTTCCTTTCCCTATGTCCCTCACACCAACTTCGCCTCACTCCCTCTCCCCTTGTCGCCAGCTCAACTCTCTGCCTACCTTCCTCTCCCTATCCCCCTGCCCCTTCCCCCTCCGCCCCTGCCTCAAATATCTGGTGGCCAGGAAGGGCCCACACACGTTCTGCGATGACTCATCTGTGTCCTAGTCCGTGGGCCGGTGCATCACAGACTAGGACACGAAGCGTGTGGAATTGCTACAGACAACCTTGACCTGTGGTGGTCGCGGGGCGGGGAGGGGGGTTGATGGTTATGGGGTTGAGGCTGGAGCCGTGCAAGGATCCGAGGGGCGACCATGCGTCGATGCAGTTCCTCAAGAATAAGCTATGCAGGGCTACCGCGTGGTGTGCCGAGGCCGAGGTCGAGCACAACATCGTTGCCCTCGATGCTTCTTTCACTCCTGTTTGTACTGTGCTCTCCTCGAGCTGCAGACACACATCCGTCTCTTTGTCTATTTCATTTTTATTGTTCCGTACTTCCATTTGTAGTGATATACTTATATTCATATAAGAAAGCAACATACGATGCCCAATTTCTCCGTATGGAAGCTGTCTTACTAAAGTTAAACTCTTCCGACACACAAGTTCCTGAATGCCACCCTCTCCTATTTTGAACCCTAAAACTACTTTAGGTAGTACTTTGGTCCCGTCATGATGATGCAAAGATGGTGTGACCCAAGGCCCGCTATGAAGCACCGTAATCTTGAGCTTATACTGATGTACGTCAAATTGGGCTTCATTCATTCCTTCTTTACATCTCCTTCAAGGTCACGGTGGTAGATCCATGGCTGGAGACAACTGTCGTCGCCTCTTCCTTGGTGCCCCATCTTCACGTTCCCGCGTTGACTGCTCGCCATCGCACTGGATCTGCCCAGAGCCGACGCTGGTTGGAGACGAGGCATACAACATCAGAGTGGCTGTCTTTTTCACATCACGCCACGAGCCACTGCCATCGCCTCACGAGATGACTCTCTCTCTCTCTCTCTCTCTCTCTCTGCATTCACTGCATGCTGTCCGCGAGGGGTCTTTTTACAAAACTGACGTGACGGAGACGGCTTCGCAACACGTGTTATACGTGCCCTAGGTTGTCTGTTTAACTGTATATATGTTATGTGACATGTACTTACAGCAACCGCTGTCTCTAGGGTTATACATGTCCAAATAAGATAGGCTTGATCCACAGTGACGGCCGTAGGCTATGCCGTGAGACGTGGTGGTTAGAAGTTTTTTTTCCCCCTCAGGAGCATGCATGCAACGTAAGAATTTCTTGGTGAAAGAAAAGGAACTTTTACCAGAAGAATATTCGTTTACGCTGGAGTCAGAAGATACAGAAACGGAAATGTTATACAACACATATGTGTTTTAGCATAAAAAAACATATGTATTTTTTTTATCTCTCTCCCTCTCTCTTTCTGACCCGTGACGGCGGCGGCGGCGGCGTATCTGTGATTTGTCTTTCCATAGGAAAAAAAATTGTGATCTGTGATCTGTGGAGGCTGGAAGTAGAAGAAGAGTGGAGGCTGTTGGATCTTAATCCTATGGTGCAAAAAAATTCATGTGTTGAAACTGCATAAAACACATGATTGTGTAGTGACAGACTTAGAAAAGAGAATCTGAAACAAATCATCAGCAGCGGCAGCTACCATATCGTAGCCGGATTCATATCACCAATTCAATATCTCCAAACGTATCAGTTTAGATTAGAAGGGTAGGCAGTAATATGGATATCATGATTCACACCTTCTCAATTCTCATCACCAGTTCAATGTAAACACGACTACTACTGGCCTACTGGTTGTCCGATGAAAACAGAGAGTAATAATGGTTCCAAACCTATATACTACATGGCACCAGAGTAGCAAGATATACATGGCAACACTATATATGAATAGCATGATGAACAGCTAGACCTTCCAATTCGTGTGGCAACTATATATCAAGTCGTATGGAGAACGAAACCGGAAATCACACCACACGACATGGATGGAAAGAATTAAGAGCGTCCAGGTTAGATCGATCGAGCGGTGAAATCGTTCTGTGCTGACACAGCTAACAAAATTAAACGGCCCGATCGTCCTCATAGGCTGATACAAGACGTGGTTAGTGTTTCTTTTCTTGTTTCTTGATCTCCAGTCTCCACTATACGTCAACCAACAACCGAACCGGCCGATGGATCCGGTCTACGTACGGTTTATACTTAGGCTATACACTCTAGACTCTAGTTAGGAAAATAGGAAGTTATACATAAGTATAGATATTATCTCTCCAAGATTTTTAGAACAAAAAAAATCGCACAGCTGGTATGATGCGGGACGGCGCGTATATCGGTTTTAGATTAGAAGATGCGGATCGGAAGAGGGCGTAGTAGAGCCGGGGCGCGTAACAGATGATCTCGCCTTCCCATATTTTGCAACGCGCACTAGCTAACAGTCCACCGCGCGATCGGGTCGGTTGCTGCGCGGAGTCCCACTCTCGATCGACTTGCTTGCCGCGCAATCTCGCGTCCCCGACGCGCGCACGCAACCATCTCTCATCCCTCCGCTATTTAAGCCCACTGCCCTCCCCACCCACAAGCAGATCAACAAGCCCTGCCCAGTCGCCAGCGCACCCATTACAGAGAAAGCAAATTGCTTAGCTAGCCCTACTACTCCCAAATCCCATGGACTCCTCCAGCCGCCGCCCGCTCTGCGATGTGCTAGGGATAGGGGACGACGACCTCGAAGAGGGCGAGTACGTCCCCGGCGAGTACCAGTCGTCCTCCGACACCGACGACGACGACCGCTTCGATCATCAGTCGTCCCGTCGCGAGGACGACGAGGTCCACCCGCAGCACGGCGGCCGCATGCGCCGGCTGGAAGACATCGTCGTGGTGGGACGGGTCGGCGCCGGCGCGCCCCTGCCGGCGTCGCCCACGCCTTCGTCCGAATCTGAGGGGACAATCAGCGACCACCGCAGCGCATCATCTGCAGGCGGCGTCGGCGCGCGGCCGGCGCGGAAGTTCGCCTGCCACGTCTGCGGCAAGGGGTTCAGCAGCCGCAAGGCAGTGGACGGCCACATGAGGGTCCACGGGAGCGGGAGCAGGAGCGGGCGCCATGTGGTGGCGACCGCGGCGGCGGCGTTCAGTGGCGGCTGGGCCGCCACCGGCAGGCGCGGCTCGACAGGGGGCAAAGGCAAGCCTTCGGCCGCGGCGGCCTCTCTGAATTCTGAGTCGACGACGGGCCACTCCACGGCCATCGTCGCGGTACAAGTGCAGCAGCCCTTGGAGGCAGTGCCCATGGCGTTCGCGGTGACCAATCTGTCGCCGATGCCTTCTTCCACCAGAACCAATCTGTCCGGGGAGGACGACGAGGGCAGCAGCGCCACCGCCACCGCCACCGCGCAGCCGGTGCACTATGATGAGCCTGTGGTGGTGGCGGCGGCTGTGGTGACAGGAGCAAACCCTTCTTCCACTGGGGCTAGGGCTGCTGGGCCCGTCAACCACCAGCTGGCTGCGGCGGCAGATCAACAAGCTCCTGCTCCACAAGTCCACCTCCAGGCTGTGTCAGTGCCACCTCCAGCAGCGCAGGAAGCTCAGTTCGCCCAGCGGCCACTGCCGCCGCCAGCAGCTGCAGTCCAGCTCCAGCAAGGCGGCCAGCTCGTACCCCGCCCCGCTCAGCCACCGCGGGAGTACAGCTGCAAAGTGTGCGGCAAGACCTACTCGACGCACCAGGGGCTCGGTGGCCACGCCGCCGGGCACAGGAACAGGCAGAGGGAACAGGAAGCTATGGCGGCGGCCGCGGGGATGATGATGATGCCGCACGGCGGCGGCGGCGAGTTCCTCGCTGCGCTCCGCCGCGGCCGCAAGGCAGAGGAGCCGCACGCGTGCCAGAAGTGCCACAAGGTGTTCGCCACCGGGGTCGCACTCGGTGGCCACATGAGGATGCACTACACTGGCCCGCCGATCGTGCACAAGAGCAAGAAGAGGTGTGTGGCACTCGTTGCAGCAGTGCAGCCGGCTCCGCCGCCTGCCGTGAGCGAGGCCGACCTTAGGCTTGCGCTGTCCACTGCTAAAACTGAGGAGCCGTCGTCGTCGCCTGCACCGGCCGTGGCGGGCACCAGCAGACTGCGTCTCTTTGGCATTGACATCGGACCGCTCGGACAACAACAAGCGCCATCAGAGCAACAAGGGTCCGGCACGATGGAGGGTTCTTCGTCCGCCGGCGAGCAGCAGCAGCACAAGTAGGCGGCGACAGTGGGAATGGAGAAGGCGGCCACAGTGGAGAAGGATCGCATATGGGCTCCCCCGTACGTTTAAGTAAGATTTAGGTTTTGCCATGATATAGTTTCTCGTAGATTAGATTGGTCGATCGATTATATTATTATTATTATTATTACTATATAGTTTGAGATTTGTGATTTGATATTCGGGAGAGCACCTATATGATTTTGCACCCCATGCATACAGTTCTTTCCTTTCTTTCTTTCTTTCTCTCTTTCCTTTTGGCAAAGAAAAAAAAACATTCGATTCTATGTTTTCCTATATATACGTATATGTATAAATGGTCTCTATATACTAATACTAATATATAGATAGGTATTTATAGTAATTGGGGTATAGCTACTAAGCGCTATAATCAGGATTGCGAAACCACATCTATATTCATGCCAAGTTCGGTGAATTTGTAAATGGTGTGCGGCCGCCGGCCGGCCGATGCCGTTTTTTCACTGGGGAAGAGTCGTGTCACACATAGCATTATAAAAAGTGTTTCATTATTACAAGCCAAGCTCGAGCTCGAACAACGCGTGTTTATTAAAATACAAATCTAGCCATGCTTATAACTTACTTATATGCTTGATTTTTAACCCCATTTTACTCCCTAATTTTTATTCCAGATTGATCTTCGACCAAGATTTTATGAAATGTATTTTTTTTCAAAGCATCGACAGTTATATTATTCATCATTATGATCCTGGCTCATTCTGCGCTCCTACTTGTCTTTGTTGAGTTTCCGCGGAAGATCCGAAATGAGTTATCTTCTTGTCTTCGTAAATATTCGAGTTAAATGCATCGTAGGTCCATTAATTTTTGGTGGTGTGTCATATAATTTTATCAATTTTTAAACTGTATTTTTTGGTCCATTAATTTTTGGTGGTGTGTCATCCAGGTCCATCAACTTTTAAACTGTATTTTTTAGGTCCATTAACTTTTGGTGGTGTGTCATTCAGGTCCATCAACTTTTAAATTACATTTTTTTGGTCCCTAGACTTTTTAACTGGTTCACCGTAGATCTATACCCCTTCGTTTAGCGAATAGATCTGACATGGCACACCAAAAAAGCAGTCACCGTAGAGTACAGGATGAGATCACCATCCGAAGATAATCTTCAATACGAAAAACCTGATGGGATCACCATCTAGGGTTTCTCGAGCGGCGGCTCGATGGGAAATAAACTCGACAATAAAATCCAGTCTAATCTATCATGTATAGGCCACATGTATAGGCACGCATAACACCGCACCAAAACAAAACTCGGACTCTACTAGCCCAACTAGGACCAATTGACCCTGAGTCCCTGATTCGGCTAATATGCATGGCACGTCCAAACGCGGCCACCAATTTGATTCACGTACACAGGTGCACGCAGGCACTAAAAGTTAGATGCTAGATAAAAGATCGTGTATCACAACTGGATAGAAAACTAATGCATAGAAACAATAAAATACTACGACAAGGATGCTAATCACGTTGGAAAAATTCCTTTGATGATCTCCACCTCTTTAGAATTAGTACTGATGTATTTTGTTGGCTTCATTTTCTTCTCTTTTCCACATAATAATAAGACACATCTATAAAATATCTTTGATGATAGTTCAGCAGTTGTAAATTTCTCCATGTCCACAATATATTTATCCTTACAAATAATAGTCCCAAATTTAAGACCAGAGGATATTAATAAATTACCGGCTGCTATATTTGAATTATTACTACACAAGTCTCCATGAATATTGAGAGGATATGGACTCATCACCTACTCTACAGTGGCTGTTTATTTGGCGTGCCATATCAGATCTATTCGCTAAATGAAGGGGTATGGACCTACGGTGAACCAATTAAAAAGTTTAAGAACCTAAAAATGCAATTTGAAAGTTGATGGGCCTGGATGACACACCGTCAAAAGTTAATGGACCTAAAAATGCATTTTGAAAGCTGATGGACCTGGATGACACACCACGCCAAAAGTTAATGGACCCAAAAATACAGTTTGAAAGTTGATGGACCTAAATGACACACCACTAAAAATTAATGGACCTACGGTACATTTAACTCTAAATATTTCGACCGCTATAATATTAATGGACCATCTTATAGTTCATGTATGCACGAGATAATGAGTTAACAAAATAAAACGAACCGTGTGGCATGTTTGTATGACTTGACGTGACAATTATCCCAGTATATATAAAACAGGACCTATAAACGCAATGAATTGGCATGGCAATATTATTTAAAGAGAAGGAGAACAAATTCCACGGCATGATCGACACCATTGGGATTGTTACGTTAACATAACTTGCTAGCGATAATGGCATGATCTGTCATTTTCGTTTGTCTTGTAATCCATATTTTTCAGCTTTTTTTTTAGTCAGAACAGTGTTTTTCTCTTACAACAAATCAGCCAGAACAGTGTTTTGGCTTGTTTTTTCAGCGAAGCGAACGGGGCCAAAGTCATAACCAATTCATATATGCAAGACACGTATAAGTGGAGGATATAGCAACAACATCACGTCACCTAAAGACATCTGATTTTAACATGGAAAACCTCCAAATCGAGATATAAACCATAAAAGCAGGCTCACCAAATCTTTTTCCGTTATTTTCTTGTGAGATTACAATAAGTTCATCTCTAAATATCACTAGAGGCATTCATATAACATGATTTACAAAATCTTGGACAGTAATAACAAGATTTTGGAGTTGCTTACTTAGGGCACAGACACCACCCCGGACTCATTTTCTCCCATGGGTGCACAGCTTCCCCCTCGGCGGCTGCGCAACTTCCGTCAGGGCCAGTTCAACATTCCTCGCGTGCACAGAAATACCGTCTGGGAAAGTCTCTCCTGTCGGTGGGGACCATCACGGGCTGCCTCACCACCAATTGTGGCAGGATCGGCGCGCTACGATTTGGCTTTCGTGTAGGACTGAAAACGGTCGGAAAAGATCAATAGGAGGTCAAATCATTTTCAGTTACACATTATTTTTTCAAAAATGAAATTAATACTATATTGTCGAAAACGAGAACGACATTGATATTTCAGTAAATGCGGAAACGAAACTATTCGATCAAAAGTACATAAAACGATCGAAAATTATGAAACCGATATCTAAAATACAATAAACACACCAATATGCACAGCATGACAATAGCAATATAGATTAACCCAGGTCACATGAAAAATAATAGTGTATTAATAATGATCCATGACACAAGAGGCAAGACACACATATTATATAGCAATAAAATGACACAACACAAAGGCTATGCTCAGCGGAGATAAGATCGTCTGTCTCTGCCTGAGTTCAGTAATTATCGACGGTAGATTATTGACTAAATATGGTATTTTTTGAAAATGATCGATAGAGAGCTAAATCACTCACTTCCGTTTTCATTATCGGATGCTTTTACCGTTCTCGCTTCCATTTTATCGATTACTGTTACTGCTTCTGTTTAGGGGGGAATCGGTAATTTCTCAAAAATAATTTTCGGTAATAGAGAATTATCGTTGTCTTTTTCGGCCCTAGGCTTTCGTGCCTGCATGCAAGCAGCTGGCCCACTTGACAGACAAACGGACGCTGTGGCCAAACAAAGAAAGCCCACGGAAGGGGCATTATTGTGGCACGCAGCCTCACCCGTGACTTTACTTTCCCCAAATCTTTCCTCTTCCACCGCCCCCAGCCACTCTCCAGCCCCTCCATATGCCTCGGTAATCCGGCGGCTCCAGCACCTCTCCTCCCCCTCGCTGCATCCGGGGCATTTACATATTTACCACTATTACGGATGGCATCTCACACTGTGTCACTGACACATGAGTCACTAACATGGTATTTTTTATACCACTCACAACGTAATGATGGTAAATATGTAAATATTCCACCGCATCCAAGCCATTGGTTGTCCCTATCTCCTCTCCTGCTCCTCACTACGCCACAGAGATTCACCACGGCGGCGCAGCCATCTGCCACCGAGACACCCCAGCGACCTGCGCCGCCGGCACCAACCCAGCCACCTGCGCCGCCGCCACGAATCCCGCTCTGTTCCTTCTCTCACACTGCAGTGGCAACCAGGTCAGCATGTCCCGTTTATCCTCTCCCTCTGAACAGGTTAGCGGCCGACGGGAAAAGTTCAAACTATCCCTGATGGTGCAGTAGCCGTCAGGAACTAACCCTAGCGGGAAGCTTCTCCCAAACGACGCGGTAGATCTTTCTCAACGGTTTTCGGTACTTTCCCTGACGGATCTGGCCATCATGGAAAAACTTGGCTGGGGTGGTGAGAAGAACCTTTATTTGTTGGAACTCAGATTGAAGACACCAAAACTATGTGGATATCGACTTTCACAATATTGAGGACGAATCCTTGTTGATCTCTTGCAAGATCTCATCTTGCATCACCCGTCTTCTCTCTCTTTTTGTATTGTTTTGAAGATTCACTTCTCTATTTTGGTGCCATCTTTTCTCTCCACATAAGAAGGGGCAGAAAATACTGCCGCTGTCTCTTCTTTCCAGAGCCTTTTTTTCCGTTCTCTCGTAAGCCAAGAAAAAGGTGTTAGATGTACACCAGGCCGATACACTTTTTTGAGTTGCACCTATTACATGTGGGTCTGCTCACTAAGAGCAATTACTCTCTTAATGCTCACTCATGAGGAGGATTTCTTAGCAGGCACTTATACTGACATGTTAATTCCTTTTTTGTTTTCACTCGGATGGATAAACATCTCACAATCCTCTCCATGGGCCACAACGCAATCCTCATCTTCCAAATAAATCAATCAAATAATATGTCTAATCCTACACTCTCTACTAACCAATGACTTAAATAAATCTCCAACAATGGTATACAGGCCCCGAACAATGGTAAATCTCCAACAATGCATGCACAGAGCGAGGGCACGGCCTTGAACTTGAACCCGGTCAGCGGTATAACCGGCGAATTCCAGTCTGCCACAGCTCGTCATCCTTCGCTGTGGTCTGGCCTGTGGGTCGGCAATGAGCGCGGGTGCTGAGCACGGGCGGCGCGAGTTGAGCGGCGCGCGGCACGCTGACGGGGAGCAGCAAGTGGCGGCTAGAGTCGAGTTGCGTACGGGCGCCTCCAGGCCCCACAGCTTAATCCAGTTATCCCGCTCCCCAAACAACCAGCAGGAGATAATAACAACGTCTTCCGTTCCGTTCGGTTGAGTTCACTCCGATGCCGCGGGCCCGCGGCGGACTTAACCAACTCACAAATCCGGCGCCAGCAGCCCGTCCCCTCCCCTCGGGTAATATTCCGATCCCCCGTCCAGCCCAAAATAGGCTCCGATCGCACACCTTACACCACGGCTCAGCACGTTTCTTTCCCAGCTGTGCTTACCGTGTCCCCTGCACCCTGCGCCGCATCCGATCCTTGCTCTGATATCCACCATCTTGCTGGATGAACATGTTTCTTGAGCCACCGTTCGCTGAACGATGGGGCCCGTACCGGCCGGTCCACTATAGAACTGTTCTACTCCAATCCACTCCACTACCACCTGTCTTTTTCCTTCCCTTCCCTCTTCAACGTCTTGACGAAGCAGCAGCAGCAGCAGCAGGTAGACCGAACAACTGCCGCTCGGGAGCGGCCATTTTTTGCGGGGGCGGGAGAGCTCTAGCTAGCTCTTGCAGCAGTAGAACTCTACTGCAGCCAGGTACGCGTGTTTCTGAGCCGGGGGGCGGGGAGTTAGCTAAGGTTACTTCTACCAGCTGCGAATTCTCCGCCTGCCTCTTTCTTTGGTTCCTACGCTGCCAAGCCCCGAAACCAAATCGGATTTCATGGGTGCAGACTGCAGAGTAACAGTGTGAGAGATTTGCTTTCGCACCCTCAGGCTCGAGGAGCACTCGTTCTAGGGCGAGGACTCGTGTGCTTTTCGTGCGACTCAGGGTCTTGCTTCCTTGCATAGTTACAACACTCAGGGAGTCAGGGCCAAAATTTTGCCTTTTGGGCAGCAACGATTTTTGGGAGAGGGAGGTTGTAGATGAAGTGCAATACTGCATACTAGATCCTTCGAAAACCTACATACGCCGTACGGCAGTGTGACTATAAAAAGACTCCTGAGTCCTGACGATACAAAGGCTGAAAGAATTTCAGGCGACAGAACTGAGAGGTACGCAGAGGCTTATTAGATTAGAATTTCCTCAGACTGCTAATGAGAGTGTGAGACAGGAAAGCACATGCTTCGGTATGGGGAAAAATGCTAACTGCTTCTCTCTAAACAAGTGCTTAACTGGGCTCTTAATTATCTATGACAGAGTAAAGAGAAATGGATGCCGATGATAGCTCCAAGAGAAGTCGCCCAGTTCGTCGTGCTGTGAAGGTGGTTCACCAGTTTTCTTCTTTCTATTCTATGGCTCAGAGAATTGTCGAGAAGAATGCTGCGTGTTAACGTGTTTCTGTACTTCTGTTTCTTAATCCCTTCAGAAGCTCAAGTTCAAACCGAAGGTGCCTCCACAGAAGCCAAAGAAACTGAGTGCACAAAAGTAATCTCTCTGTCTTTGGCTGCTAATAGTGACTCTAAGGTCTTTTTTCAGCAACCATATTACAGTTACCATAAGCAGAACACATTTTTCTGTTTCAGGCCACAGCAAGAAGACCCTAAGCCAATTGATGAAGAGTTGATGAAGATATTGAGGGTGGGTAACTGGTTATCCAATTGTCATATCATGATTTCAGATAGTACTGTAGTTTGCTTAGGGGGGAGAAAAGGATCAGCACGTTCTTTCTATGGCTGAACTTATATTTGTTCTTTTCAGACTCGCCAAGTGACTGCAAAAAGTTCACCAAATACAGAAGGTATTTACTGCCCCGAGATCCTACTGTCAGGCATTTTTTAAGATTTAGGAGAAACAGGCCTTTTCAATCAGATCAAAACAATGCACATACAAGAGCATGTATTGTACTGTCATAGATTTAGTCAGCAATATCAAAATAATCAGACTGAACATATCATTTGTAGATGAGCGCCCAATACAGAATACCCCCTCGACACCACCTTCTGCAGATGCTGTTAGCTTGTCACCAGCGCAATTCGGAGTGCAAAAACAAAATCAATTGGTGAGTGCCCCTAGAAGGCAAGAACATCTCGGTCGCAACCTTGCTGTATTATAAAACACCATGTGTTTGTTGGCAGACTTATTAACTTGTCTTGCGTACTTTGTCTTGTCTTGTTTCTGTGTCAAATGAAGCCACTCCAAATTCCTAGATCCTTCCCTGTTCCTGTTAATTCAGGTGAATGTGAAGATTCATAAGCTCCTCTGTTCTTCTGAACAATACTTTCCACTAAGAATTTTCATGGGACAGGAATGCTTTACAAAGAAGAGAGTGATGACGACGACGACGCTAATGATAGTGACAATGTTGAGTTGCAGGAGACTCAGCCAGATTCAATTGAATGTGAAGCTTTAACACGTCCAGCAGAGGAGCTTGATTTGCTTGTATGATCTTATGAACTCTGTTGTGTTGAACAAAAACAAATCTGAGCTCTGCAAAGTTATATATACATAATGTCTGAACACTCACATTATTCACTTGCAACTTTAGCAGCAACAAGGTAGCAAAGAAAGAATGTTCCTCTTCCAGCTCCCAAAATCTCTTCCTTTGCCCAAAAGGCCGTCCAGTACCAGTATAGTTGAAAGACAAGGAAAGGTCACTGGCAAGGAGGTGAAGGAAGGATCCAACATGCAGCAGCTGCCTCAGGGTTATTTGGGCAAAATGCTTGTATACAAGAGTGGAAAGATCAAAATGAAGTTAGGAGATATCATGTTTGATGTCAGTGTACAGATTTCTCATCTTTTTGAGCTTAGCAAGATATTGCATATATTTTTTGCTTAATTTCATCCGCTGCAGGTGAGCCCAGGAGCAGAAACTAGGATGGCGCAACATGTAGTGGCTCTGAACACTCGAGACAAACATTGTTGCTTACTTGGAGAGATTGAGAATCGGCATGTTATTGTGACTCCAGATGTTGATTCTTTGTTGAACGACAAGTAGATATTAGGTTGTTATCTGTAGCACTGTAGCAGCTTTGTCACATATTTTGTAGCTAGTTAGCTACGCAGGGTTCGGTTGCCATCTGTAGCAACTGTATCAGCCTTGTCAAATGGTGTATAGGACTTTGGTTGTGCAGTGTTGTGTACGTTTTACTGTGATTGTACTACTATGTTAGTTTTAGAACTGCCCAGTTGATGAATGTTTGTAAGAATTGACATTTGACCTTAGTGGTATTGGAAGAAAATAAATCACACTGCCCTATCTCCTTCTGCCATTGTTGTTGTGTGCAAGGGCTTCTGTTAGTACAAATTTAAGGGATTGCACAATGAAGTTCATATTTAAAAGTGTGGTCCCAATACAAAGAAAAGTAAACTAAAAATACCGACCTAAATGCTGGATAGAACAAATCAAGAATGGTTACAGAAGGCTCGAAAAGAACTTGGCCAACCATTCCTTGCGAAGGTCTGGGCTACGCACAAGGAAAATCTTGCCTTCGACCTCATTCTTCAGAAAATATTCGAATGCAGTGATTGATATCCTCTCATTGCAGCTGCAAGCTGTAACCGCTTTCCACTAGTCTTCGGCAAAGTCTCTGGGCTTCAAGCTTTTCACAGCATCTATTAGCTCTCCAATCTTCAGAACTAAGTAGCGGATATCCTCATTAGCTATCTTCTGCTCCATGGGATCTTCAGATATATTACTATCGTCAGAGTGAGTGTTTTGATCCCTTTCCAACTGAATTTCAGCTGCTGATGGATCATATTCATCACCGAAGATGAAAGAAAGCTCATCATAATCCTGAATAGGCCTATTCAGCAACCCTGAATCCTTCGAGTGATCCTTAGTTGCAAAGAAAACAAACAAGTTCAGCCATGACAATTAATGGTGGCACTGTGCTGAAAGGCCACAAGAAGGGACTTAACATAAGTAGGACCTACACTAACTTAGAGATAGCAAATCTGAAACTAAGGGGACATCTTGTCATTACCAAGGCATACTGTTGGTAATCTTCTTCTCGTATGTATATAGTCCTAGTAGCATGATCCCATGACGCAGAACCAAGGGATTTAATCCTCTCTACCCTTCTCCATTTATCCTTCAGGGCTGTCAACCTCCTCTGAACATCAGCAACGCAACACTCACGCTGAAACTGCTGAGACAGCCTCTGCAACTTCTCGCAGGGTATCCTCCTGCCGAAGGTCCTCAAGCCGAACTGGTTAGAGGGTTCCGGCTGCACCCCTCACGTCCTGAGTTCGATACCCCACGGGGGCGAATTTCAGGCTGGAGGGTAATAAAATCCCCTCGTCTGTCCCACGCCAAAGTCCCATCTCACAGGGATGCGGTGCCGATGTGCCGCTGTATATGGGTGGGGCCAGGGTTCAGGGGGTTTTCGCGAGCTGCGTGAGAAGTTCTTCTTAATGAAAAACCGGTGGGGACGTCACTCCCCCGCGGCTCGTGTTTTTTTCGCAGGGTATCCTCCTTGAACAGTGCGTATTTTCCCTTGCCATCTGAAGCCTGCTGCATCAAGTAATTGGTGAGGAACTTGGTCCTGTGTCTCCAAGAAGAAGTCTGGCTGCCACTGAACATGCTTTCTGCCTCACTTTGAGAAACTTTTGGCTCCACTAAAGCTGTTCTCTTGCTGCCCTGCCGAAGGTATGGTCAGTGAGGACGATAATTCTGCCAATCAGATTCCATTCCAAATCATAGCCTGAAGTGTGAAATTACAGCATATCAAGCTATCGAGCAACCAGTTATGCATAGATTGCACAGAGGATCTAACATTCTACTCTGAAGAAACACATCGCCCAACAAAGACATGTCAGAAACAAACAAATAAATGAATAGCTAGTTAATAGTACCGTTCCGGAAAGCGGCGGACATGAAGCGGCGATTGAGCTACGCCTGGCTGACAACCCGGGCCGTGCATTGCCGGCGAACCCAGAACCGCCGCGCCAGCGCGAGGCTGTTGTCGCAAACCGCCAGGGTCAGAAATCAGAAACTCTTATTTGCAAGCAACGGGGAGGGAGGGGAAGAGTGGGAGAAGCGCACCGGAGCGTCGCCGGTGGTATGGGAAAACGGCGGCGGCGAGCGAGGTGGGGAGATTGAGGATGAAGTCCATGCCCGTGCATCAGCTCGGCTCGGATGGCGAACAAATTTTGCAGGTTTTGCCGTGGGCCGTTGGGTTCGAGAGTGCGCTCGGGAATTCCTTTTCTTTCTTTCTTTTTTGGCAAAAGAAGCGGGTTTTTTTTTTTTTGAAACAAAGAACAGGTATAGAGTTGCAAGCGCCGGTGCCTCCCCAATCCGCATTCAAATCTTCCATACAAAATGTTCTTGATTATAACATCTTGGCTAATTGATTCGAAGTCATTTGAAAGGATGCGAGTAGGTATTCTCGCGAAGGCATGTGACAGTTTGTGAAAGTGAGTTTTTTCAGAATTTACAGGACTTTTTGGATGCACTTGTGTGCTAGTGGATTAGGGTAAAATTAAACTAAGCTTTATCCTAATCCACTCCAACACACATAAATGGATTAGGTGATTTACATGAATAAAAGTACACTCCAACACACATGAATTTAGGTGAATACGAGTGCATCCCAAAGGAAATCTCCGCATCGCCATAATCTTCCACCATAAGCTCTTCTTTCCCAACTCTGCAGAGCAAACAACAGGAAATTATAATCCATCCAACTGTTTACGCTTAAATATTGCCGAATGTGAAATCACATGCAATTCTCCTACGTTGTTCGAGAAAAAAAGACTGCCAAATGCCTTTCACAACTCCACTAGCTGGGGCATCCCCAATTTTCTATAAAAAAAAGAATATCTGGGATTATGTAGGAACATTTTAGCCTTTTCTTATGGATCAGAAACAATTAAACTAGTTAATTATTGAAAAAAAACAGGTTTTTCTTGAATTCAATCTAACAATATTAGAAGGTTGTGCAAATGAAAGAATTAGTTCAGTAAACTGAAGGGACACATTCATTTTAGCAATCACTACGCCAGGAAACTCACCTTTTAGCCAAGTCATACTGTTCCTTAGCTTCAGAGTACTTCTTGTTTTCTATCAAGGAGCAAGCAGAATTGTATGCGAGCTCAAAGCTAAGAGTGTCCCTTAAGATCAACCTTATGCGCCTTCATAGCTGCCTGCACCTCAGAAGACCTTCCAGCAGCAGGCAGAGCTGCAATGATATTTATCTTCAGATCCATTGAGTCAATTTTAAATTTTTGAAGCTTCTCATAGCTACTCATGCAATCATACATTCTTCCTAGTCGGTAAAAGATCTGGGATTCCAGATGGAGAACAGCTGAAGTTTCTTCGTGAACTCTTAAAAGCTCCTGAGCTTCTTGCAGTTTGTTTTGCCTGTAGAAGCAGTAGGCGCCTAGTCCTCCCCACCATCAGCATATTTTACACCTGCGGTCAAAATCACCGTCAATGCAAGCTGTTTTTTTTTACTGCGAAAAGTGTTTGATCTGATCGGACACGCGTGTGTGTCGTGCGTCACGCAGGGGTTACCATCAGCATATTTTACAGCTAGTTGGAGTCGGAGTCGGACTGAAGATTCCCGCCGGTGTTGCCTTGGAGTCGATCACGATTAGATCCGCGCCAAAATCAGCTGAGTCCGCGCCAAAACCTTGCATTGCCTCACGCGCTTTATATAATTCCCCAGCACCCCGACTGCTTCCTCCCATCTCGAATCCTCCCAGTTATTTGTAGCCCTCCCCTTCCTTTCCTGCATCTCGTCTCGTCTCGTCTCCAACCACAGCGCGTCCGATCCGATGGCTTGCTCGGTCATCCCGATGATGATGCCTGACCAGATGTTCCGCCGGGTCAGTAGCATATTAAGTGTTTAATTTGTATTCAAACGCATGTTGCAAATGCTACATTTAGATGTTTCAAAAGTAGATCAGACGTTGCAATACGCGGGAGAAGCGAAGATCCCCGCACGCGGTCTAGTGGCGCGGGTTGCGTCCAGACAGCACGGCCCCCGGGCACGTGAAACCCAGGCGTAGATGGGGCGAGTTGATTTTTTCTGTTTGTGCGAGCACGGGCACGGATTGCTGATGCGAGCGCGGAAAACTACAGCGCGAACGTCCGGACGCGGGCCTCGTGCCGAACGTCCGAGCGCCAGTCGTCTGTTAATATGACCAACGAAGAGGTTTACCTCAGCAACTAACACGACAAAACAACACATGTCGTGATCGCATTAGCTGCAATTATTTTAGAGTAAACAGTCACAAGGGGCCTGAGGTAACGCGGAAGCTAGGAGCAACAAGAGTTACCATATTCCCGAATGAAATCATTTAAAGGATTAATGTAACAAAAAAATTAAAAATAGAATTCTACTGGGGCAACAACACATCGAAACACATCTAAGCAAAATTTTCAATAGTCTCAGTCGGTTGAAACATTAGTGTAAAAGCAAAGCAAATCCACAATTGAATGCAATCCAGCCCAAAATTAATTGCGAGTCATCAAGAAGATAAACGAACTTATTCTTTTGTACTGTGTTATATAACTTACATTTCTCATCTAAGACCTGGACTTCTTCCTCCTGGATTTGTTGCTAGTTTTGGCTGATCAGTATTGCCGCTAGTGTCTTTGATGAACTGGTGGTTTGGCTTCCTTTTGAAGAACCACCGGCATTGGTAGCCACTGTCTCCCTAAAGGCCTAGACACAGCTCCTTGAGCACCGTGATGATCCAGTCTGTTCGCTTGCTCGTATACGATCATGGATTATAAGCTGAAACGGTATTTTTCTCCCACACCAAATCAGCCAGCAGTAAATAATCCACGATCGTTTACGACGAAACGAACAAGCTCTAAGCCCCCTTATCCGTCCTCTTCGGACGGTAACTGGATCTCTCTCTCCTGGGCAGATATCTCTCAGGATCTGGTGGTGGCGGCCCCGGGTTTGCTGGATTCAAACCTTTCAGGCATCTATGCTTCCGCTTCCTCTTCTTTGTCTTTTGCTTCTCCGCTTCCTTAGGAACATCGATCTTTTGTACTTTTTTTTTAATTACACAGTACAGTACATTGTAGACGCCCACGACACGCAACCTTTTAGTAAAATAAGGTTTGTAGTTGCCACAGCAAGTGATGACGCATCAGCTGACTGCCCGTTTATCATATTAACATAGGTTTGCATAGCTTCTTCAGACTGTCCTTGTAGCTGAAAATATGATTAAGAAATCAATAGAATAGTGGTTAGACTTTATGTAAGAGAGTTTCTCCAGATTTAGTTACCTGATGCACATAAGCTAGCTGAGCAGACACAGGAGCTAATTCATATTCAATCTCCGCATCGCCATAGTCTTTCACCATAAGCTCTTCTTTCCCAGTTCTGCAGAGCAAACCAGAGGAAATTGTAGTCCAGCCAACTGTTTGCGCTTAAAGACTGTCGAATGTGAAATGGCACGCAGTTCTCCTGCCTTGTTGGAGGAAAGAAAGGACTGCCGAATGGATTTCATAATTTCACTAGCTGGGGCATCCCCAATTTCCTATAAAAAAGAATATCTGGGATCATGTAGAAACATTTTAGCCTTTTCTTATGGAACAGAAACAATTAAACTAGTTAACTATTGAAAAAAAAAACAGGTTTTTCTTGAATTCAATCTAACAATATTAGAAGGTTGTGCAAACGAAAGAATTAGTTCAGTAAACTGAAGGGACACATTCATTTTAGCAATCACTACGCCAGGAAATTCACCTTGTAGCAAGTCCAACTGCTCCTTAGCTTCAGAGGACTTCTTGTTTTCTATCAAGGAGCAAGCAGAATGGTATGCGAGCTCAAAGCTACAGGTATCCCTGAGTGCTCAAAGCTATGAAGGCGCATAAGGTTGATCTGCTTGCAACCAGAGCAGCAATGATATTTATCTTCAGATCCATTGAATTGAATCAATTTTAAATTTTTGAAGCTTCTCATATAGCTACTCATGCAATCATTCATTCTTCCTAGTCGGTAAAAGATCTGGGATTCCAGCTGGAGAACAACTGAAGTTTCTTCTTGACCTCTTAAAAGCTCCAGAGCTTCTTGCAGTTTGTTTTGCCTGTAGCAGCAGTAGGCGCCAAGTCCTCCCCACCATCAGCATATTTTACACCTGCGGTCAAAACCACCGTCAGTGCATGCTGTTTTTTTTTTTTTACCGCGAAAAGTGTTTGATCTGATCGGACACGCGTGTGTGTCGTGCGTCACGCAGCATATTTTACACCTGGCTGGCGTCGGAGTCGGACTGAAGATTCCCGCCGGTGTTGCCCTCTTCCGACTTGGAGTCGATCACGGTCAGATCCGCGCCAAAATCAGCTGAGTCCGCGCCAAAAACCTTGCATTGCCTCACGCGCTATCTATAAATCCCCAGCACCCCGACTGCTACCTCCCATCTCGCATCCTCGCACTTATTTGCAGCCCTCACCTTCCTTTCCTGCATCTCGTCTCGTCTCCAACCACAGCGCGTCCGATCCGATGGCTTGCTCGGTCATCCCGATGATGATGCCCGACGAGATGTTCCACCGGGTCAGTGCCGCTCCGCCGCACCAGCCGAAGATGACGGCCTCCGTGCCGGTGGTGGCTCCAGCGCCGGCGCCAGAGGAGCTGCGGCTGTCGGACCTCGATTGGATCGGCGACCTCGGCGAGGGCGGCTTAGCCAGGGTCTGCAAGGCAAGCCATTGCCGCACCGGCGCGGTCTTCGCGCTCAAGCTGTCGTTCGACCCGGACCCGCTCGTCGTGGAGGAGGAGGCCGAGGTGCTCCGCCGCGCTGCTGGAGCGCCGCACGTCGTCGACTTCCACGCCCTGCTCCGCGGGCCCGGCGGCAAGGCCGCGTTCGTGCTCGAGTACATGGACGCCGGGTCTCTCGGCGATCTCCTGCGGCGGCGCGGAGGGCTGGGAATCCCGGAGGCAGCCGTCGCCGAGGTGGCCGCGCACTGCGTCGTGGCGCTGGCCCAGCTCCACTCCCGCGGCGTCGCGCACCTCGACGTGAAGCCCGACAACCTCCTCGCCAACGCCCACGGGGAAATCAAGATCAGCGACTTCAACCTTTCCAGGATCCTCTACGGCGGCTCCGGCGAGCGCCTCCAGGTCCCCATCACCGGCGGCACTAGGATGTACTTGAGCCCCGAGCGGTTCGCGCACAATGCCCGCGCCGGGCCGCACGGCGCCATGGCGGCCGATGTCTGGGGCCTCGGCGTCACCGTCCTGGAGCTCTTCTTGGGGCGACTCTCCCTCTTGCCCGGAGTAGAGAAGCCGTCTGCTGAGGAGCTGAAGCAGGCCATCTGCGACGGGGAGCCTCCGTCCGTGCCGGAGGATGCAGAGGCGTCGGCGGAGCTGCGCGGGTTCGTGGCGGCGTGCCTGCAGAAGGAGCCGATGCGGCGCGCCACGGTGGCACAGCTGCTCTCGCACCCGCTCGTTGCGCGGCGCGACGTGGAGGCGTCAAGGCGCGCGCTGCGGAAGATCATCGTCGACACTCTGTAGACTGTAGTAGGTTAAGGAGAAGCAGTTGGTCTGTGTAACGTGATTATTAATATTAACTGTGTCTCTTTGCTGATTTGACTGTACTTCACAGTTCTGAGATTAATATATTTTTTTGACAACCGGTGTCCATTCAACTTGGATGCAAATTTTTGCTATAGTAACTAAGACCTGTGTGCATTGCAAGAATGAATTTTGATGTATGCGTATTGCCTTATTATATGTGCTTATGGTTTCTTGACTAGTCATATTTATCACATCACCGAAGATGAAAGAAAGCTCATCATAATCCTGAATAGGCCTATTCAGCAACCCTGAATCCTTTGAGTGGTCCTTCATATTGCAAAGAAAACAAATAAGTTCAGCAATGACAGTTAATTCAATTGAATGCGAAGCTTTAACACGTCCAGCAAAGGAGCTTGATTTGCTTGTATGAACTTCTGAGCTTTGTTGCATTCAAAAAAAAAATTCTGAACTCTGCAATGTATATACATAATGTCTGAACACGGGCGTAATTCACCTGCAACTTGTAGCGGCAACAAGATAGAAAAGAAAGAATGTTCATCTTCCAGCTCCCATAATCTCTTCCTTTACCCAAAAGGTCGTCGAGTGCCAGTATAGTTGGATGTTTGTAAGAACTGACATTTGACCTTAGTGGTATTGGAAGAAAAATATAAAAATGACATCGTCCTGTCTCCTTTTAACATTATTTTTATGTGTAAGGGCTTCAGTCAGTTCAAATATCAAATTTAAGAGATTGCACAATGATATTCATATTTAAAACTTTGGTTCCCAATCTCAATACAAAGAAAAGTAAACTAAAAATACCGAACGAAATGCTGGATAGAACAAGTCAAGAATGGTTACAGAAGGCTAGAAAAGAACTTAGCCAACCATTCCTTGCAAAGGTCTGGGCTACGTACAAGAAAAATCTCGCCTTCAACCTCATTCTTCAGGAAATACTCGAATGCAGTGATTGACATCCTCTCGTTGTTGCTGCAAGCTGTAACCGCTTTCCACAGGTCTTCGGCAAAGTCTCTGGGCTTCAAGCTTTTTACAGCATCTATTAGCTCTCCAATCTTCAGAACTAAGTAGTGGATATCCTCATTAGCTATCTTCTGCTCCATGGGATCTTCAGATATCTTACTATCGTCAGAGTGGGCGTTCTGGCCCATTTCCAACTGAATTTCAGCTGCTGCTGGATCATATCATCACTGAAGATGAAAGAAGGCTCATCATAATCCTGAATAGGCCTATTCAGCAACTCTGGATCCTTAGCATTACCCTTCATTACAAAGAAAACAAAAAAGTTCAGCCATGACAGTTAATGGTGGCACTGTACTGAAAGGCCACAAGAAGGGACTTAGACATAAGTAGGATCTACACTAACGTAGAGATAGCAAATCTCAAACTAAAGGGACATATTTGTCATTACCGTGGCATACTATTGGTAATCTTCTTCTCGTATGCTTATAGTCCTACTAGTAGATCCCATGACGCAGAACCAAGGGATTTAATCCTCTCTACCCTTCTCCATTTCTTCCTCAGAGCTGTCAACCTCCTCTGAACATCAGCAACACAGGACTCACGCTGAAACTGCTGAGAAACAGGGTATCTGTGGACGAAATCTGGTCGGCAGTCTACCGAGAGGTATGCTCACGGTAGTAGATGAATCGGTGGAAATGAGCGTGAAGGAACCGGACGGTAACACGGAACGCAAGAGACAGCAATTAGACAGCTTCAGGCCACCGACTTGGCGTAATACCCTACGTCATGTGTCTTTCGGTGGGTTGTATTGCGTATGATCAGATGAAAACAAGGGGGTCCCTACCTGCCTCATATAGCCCGGTGGTAGGATTATAGGTCGGTTGTTTCTATCCTGATCGGTTTACAAGATAGAAAGTTACAGATATTACGGGATCTAGCATATCCGAGCAGGTTTCCTAGATCACCGAGGATCTTCACGTAGTCTTGCGAGGCACGCCGACCTGCGCCGCGCTTTGCACAGCGTCGTCTTGTAAGCTAGGCCTCCAGCAGTGGTGCGGCCCATGCGTGGTCTTGTGGGCTAGGCCTCCCCTAGCATCTCAGCCCATGTATAGTCCTGTGGGTATCGGGGGTCATACCCCCACAGCTAGTCCCCGAGCACCTTGCATCCTCTGAGCAACATCGTCCTGAGGATGTTCGAGCTGACCAACACGTCGCTAATTGTCAGGGACGGGCTTCCGACCTGTCTGACTGGGAACCGAGCTGTTGAAGAAGGTGTCCGAGCAATCAGTCAAGCGTCCGAGTTGTTGGAGTGAGCGTCCGAGCTGTTCAACCAGGAGCCAAACTCAGACTTATGCGAAGCTGAGGTTTGTCAGAAGGATGTAAGGAGCTCAAGTGATTTTTTTTTGGAATCTCCATCTTGGACGAAGTGTGCCCGCTTTGGGTCCGGGCGCCGAAGTTGGTCGCGTGGCGTCCTTGACTTAGTTATCGCGGAGGAACTTAACCGCTTTGAAGAAATCTGAGCCAAAGAAATAAGTACATTCACCGCAAGGTGAAGTGTGCCCACGTAGTCCCCGAGTCTGGTACTAGGTGAGGTAGTCTCGTGGTGCCAGGGTCCAAAGTAGTAGTCTTCAGATGCTGAACCAGTTCCCAGCTTAGCTAAAAAAATAGTACAATCATCGCTAGATGACATGTACACATGTAGTCCACGAGCCTACTGGAAGATTACAAAGGTATCTTGTAGCAGGGTCAGAGAAAGAAAAATATCTTGTCGTAAATGCCTAAAAAAACTCCATCGAAGCAAAGCTTAGCGTTGAATTATGTTTCGTCGTTCCGCGTTCGACACAGTTTAACGCGGCGGCCCAGCGGTGCGCGGAGATTTAGGGAGGGAATGCGGCGGATCAGGCATGGTTTCCCAAAAACCCTGGAAGGCGGAAGGGCAGGGGTCGAACCGTGTCGACGAAATATGGTCGGCAGTCCACCGAGGGGGTGCCCGTGGTGGTAGATTATCGGTAGACGGTGCATGTAATCAGGAACCAGATGGTGACACAAGGCGCAGAGACAGCGATTTAGACAGGTTCGGGCCGTCTGGTCGACGTAATACCCTACGTCCTATGTCTTTGGTGTATTGTATTGAGATGTATATAGATTAACCTGTCCTCTAGGGGACCCTTGTCTCTCCTTATATACTCCGAAGAGACAAGGTTACAAGTAAAGTATCCAATTTGGTACTATTACAACATCTAGCACAACTTATAATCTTGATGTGCACGTCTTGATCTTACGGGCCAGGTCACCTCGGATGGTACGGCCCATATACCATCTTGTGGTACCCGGGGGTATATCCCCCACAGCTAGTCCCCGAGCGCCATGTATTCTGATGCGACACGCCATTTCAAACTTCTCCGAACAGTGAGACTTGAGTTCTTGACATCTTCGACCACCGTTATCGCCGAAGAAGTAGGTTATCTGAAGAATGTATGGTGCTCTTAAGAAGAAAGAAAAATATTTCCGTCCTGGGAAGTGTGCCCACTTGTATTTCTGAAAAGAAATGTAAGTGCGTCTTGAAGCGTAGCGTCCTTGATCATCAGAGGCGTAGGGGTCGAAAAACAAACACATTCACCGCAAGGTAAAGTGTGCCCACTTAGTCCCCGAGCCTGGTAGTAGGTGACGTGAGGCACGTGGTGCGTGGTCTAAAAAAAGAATTCCCGTTAAGTTGAGAATCCAATCGTCAGACAAAGCGAGCGTCGAGATGCACCGGCAGGTGTATCGTACCGATGTAGTCCCCGAGCTTGCTGGAAGGTGAGGTATGAGCCTTGTAGCAAGGTCTAAGTGAAAAATTATCCCAACAGTATGCGAGTCGCCAGTCGCATGTAGTCGAGACGCAAAGTCCCCGAGCCGTGGTCGGAGAGTGATCGAGGCAGTACCCGAGCACAGGTCGAGGAGCGAGCAACGAAGTCCCCGAGCCGTGACCGGAGAGTGGTCGAGGCAGTCCCCGAGCACAGGTCGAGGAGCGAGCGACGAAGTCCCCGAGCCGTGGTCAGAGAGTGGTCGAGGTAGTCCCCGAGCACAGGTCGAGGAGCGAGCGACGAAGTCCCCGAGCCGTGGTCGGAGAGTGGTCGAGGCAGTCCCCGAGCACAGGTCGAGAAGCGAGCGACGAAGTCCCCGAGCATAGCTCGAAATTCCTGTAGACAAATATGTAGAATGGTAGTACATGATGTACAACATAATAAATTATGAAGAAAAATCAGCGGTGAAGAAATAGCGTATGACGCTCAGCAGTCATTTGCAAATGAGCATGATGTGATAAAGCAGTTGGTGCTTTGTAAACATCAGTGTTACTGTGAAGTTTGTGTTTATACTTAATATAAACTGTCCGACCAGTTAGTATGTAGCTAAGTCTCCAGCCCTAGCTAGCCCGTTAACCATAACGTCGAGCGCGGAGCCCGTGCACGTGTAGGAGGAACAGGCGTCGCTAAGGAGCCGCTGCCGACCACCCATAACGCAGAGGGCAGAGGCTCGTGCACGTGTAGGGAGAAGCCGGAGACAGGGTCGTCTCTGGAGGCATCGAGCGTCAACATAACTGGTCGAGGATTTGCATTAAGTATAGCTGTATGTTATATTTAAGATGGTATACATGGACAAACATTATTTGAAGAATAATCATGATGAGGACGCTGTGGAGAAACGTCGTAATGAAAATTGTGTTAAATATAAATATTAGAAGTGTACTTATCTTCGGATAGAAATCTTGGTCGATGGCGATGAAGTCGTCCGGTCCTCGAGCTTTCCGACCTGTTGTCATGACGGTGGTCACGGTTGTCGTAGCGCCGTTCTTCGCGGCGATCATCATTGCGACGTGGTCTGGTGGTCGAGGTGGTCGGAGCTCGGCGGAGCCACTCAGGACGTGGTTGACGTGGTCCGTGGTCGATGTGGTCGGAGCTCAGCGGTGTCAATCCGCATGCATGCATGTGCCCTTGTAGATTCATACTTGTATAGTTGCATGCATGCATATCCGT